GCCTAGCCACCTCCGCAGGTGCTTGTTGGTCCTCCTCTCAATGAGCTTAATTTAAATTGTTAAATTAAATTAATTGAATAAATTAAATTAAGATGTGTTCAAAAGTACTATCTATCTATCTATCTATCTATCTATCTATCTATCTATCTATCTATCTATCTATCTATCTATCACAGTAATAATATTCTTAATGTTTTTTTTTTTTTCTATTTTATAAAAAAACATACCTTAACTTTTGACATTTACAAAATCAAAATTCAAGTAATTCTGATTTGACTTTTGATTGGGGAAATTGCTCTTAGGAGTGCATGTGAGTGTGAGTGGTTGTTGGTCCTTGTGTGTCTCTGTGTGGCCCTGCGATGGACTGGCGGACTGTCCAGGGTGTACCCTGCCTCTCGCCCGTTGACCACTGGGATAGGCTCCAGTTCCCCCCGCGACCCCATCAGGGAATAAGCGGTTAGGATAATGGATGGATGGATGGATGGATAATGGATGGATGGATGGATGAATGGCTGTCAAGTCTTGCAGTGTAACGTTGGAAAATGAAGATATTACGCATGACTTTTCCATGTTACAGCTTTTGTCAGTAATAAAAGTTTGCAACACTATTAAAAGAGGTGCACAAACCAAATAGTACCCACTGCAAAACCTGGTAGATAACCTGCAAGTCCCTTTCTCAAAATGGTCACATGCACAAAAGAAATTCAGTAGCTCAAAATGGGTAGTTCATGCATCCAAAAGCAAGTCCCTTAATCGAATTGGATAATTTGTTCCTCAAAGGCAAGTATTTATGTAAATGTAAGTGTCAATGTCTTCAGAATGACAAGTTACAACTCCAGCATCTCTGGGCCATCCCTGTTTCCACAGTGACAGATCATTCTGGAAGTGCTTCCCAGGGTGCTGATAAGTCATAACAGCTTTACATACCTGCACGGCCATTTGAAAACTAGTATTAAATAAAAATCAAGACTCTGAACAGGCACATATCTTTATACTGTATATTTACAACTGTTCCCAGCATTTCGCAACTGGAGAAATAAACTTTTAGAGCAAATGCAAATACAACAAAGACAAATTTCACATACGAAAAAACACCTTATACACAGTTTGTCTATTTCATGTCAGCATCAACACAAATCTGCTTTAAAATCCAGTGTTTTTGCATGGAGGTATTTGAATGTGGGTGTGTTAAAAAACATGTAAAACAGGCTTTAAGAACATTTGACCTTCAAAGGGTTGTATTTAAAAAAAAGCCGCACCTAAAGAATGCAGGCTAAACAACAATTATATATATGTTAACCGTACTGCCAACTAAGGAAACATAGAATTCAAATAAAGGGAAAAGGAAAATGACATTTTTCATCATAGTGTCTGAATAGGTCGATGGCCTGAACACGTGTGTAAACTGTAAATTTAAAGCAGAATTGATCAATTCAGGGTTTTTTATACCAATGCAATTAAAACATTCACAGAGAATGACTGTTTTAATTCAAGATACAATACTACCAGAGAAAAGTCTGCTTACTGTCAGCTTACTAAGTATGTTTTTCGACATTTTATTCAAATTTTAGTGTGTGAAACATCAGTTCTACTATGTCTAGGTGTCAGAAGAATTCAAAAGAATGAAGCTGGAGGTGGTTTGTGAAACCTTCCAAATTTGACTCTCACGAAGTTTTGTTTTTGTGTTATGGGATGCTTGATGAGTTTGTCTAAAAACCTTAAGTTGTTATGAAAGAGCAAAGAAATGCAAACCAGAATGTAGA